AGTTTTTCTTCAATTAGTGGATTGAAATCTTGGTATGGACAATCAAGAAGAGAAGACACAGGTACCTTATGAAAAATGACCGAACCTCTATAAAACTTTGTATTTGATTTCTCTATCTCTATCTCTTTATTTCCATTATTGATTATATTTACTTCTAGATATATCAATTATTGTCATTTGCATCATATTGTGATATTAATTTTAATTTTTCATTTAATTATTTTCAAATCATTATTTGAGAATAACTTGGAGAAATTCAATTCACCCCCACTTGATCACTATCTCACATAAAAAGCTAACATGGATCAAAATGAACCGTTTCCAAAATGAATTATCTGTGGACCAATCAAAATGGCCTCACTAAAAAAAAAAAGAAAAAACCTTTCATTAGTTTTTTTAATAAATATTAATTTTTAAAATTTTTATTTTTATTTTATAATTAATTTGATTGAAAAAGATATTACATACAAGAATTCATTTTTTTTAAAGCTAGGCTTTAAAACTATGTAATATATACAAAATGTATTAAAAATGTAAGTAGATTTACATTTTTCTTAGTTAATGTATATGATCCTTTACAATTTTTGTCTATAATAATACTATAAATTGTAGGATATATATATATAATATGCATACAAAAATATTTTAGATTAAAGTCAAAATTGATGGAATAGCAAACATGAATTAGGTTCAATATATTTAAGAAGAAAATTTACCATAGAATTATTTGAATCATTCATCAATTGCTTAATAAATTAAGCAGTTTTTATATCTTCATTCTACATTTCAACACCTAAAATCTTTGTTGTAAGATATTGAAGTATCTTTTGACTTTTTTCTAGTAACAAAAATGCTTGTTAAAAACATGAACTTTAAAACTATAAGATAAAGTCAATTATAATGCAATCATCTAGACAAAGCTTATAACCAATGACAACAACCCATTTATCTTTTTAATAATAAAAAATAATAATAATACCAAGTGTTAGAATGATCAAAAGTGATGACATAATGATAATAATAATAATAATAATAATAATAATAAACAAGAAAAGAGAAAAGAAAGAAAAGATCATATACCTAAATGAAACCTTTGAAGTTAATCTAAAGCACCAATGAAAAAGGTCCAAATCTGGCAATCTAATTTCTTAAATGAAGCCTTTATAATAAAACCTAAAGCACTAATGAAAAAAACCAAAGTCTAACAGCCTAATCTCTAATTCAAGCTAGGAGGATCCGAGTCGGGCCTAGGTTGACTAGCAGTTCGAATCACGCAACCCATCTTTTTTTATTTTTTTTTTGAATTTTTTTCACAATCCTAAGTTAACTGAACTCTCATCCCCCAATTCTTCTTTTTTTTTTAAATCTTTCCCTTTTGACTTTTCAAACTTTTTTTCTCTTTTTTTTTTCTTTTTTCTATCCGAATAGCTCCCTCTTTTTCTTCTTAACCCAAGCAAAGTTCCCTTTTTTTTTTTTTCAGTCACACCAACTATTAGCCGACAACCATATCTTCTTTGTCCCTTTTTTTTTCTTTTTTTTTTAGTTCAGCATTACTACTCATTTTCCCTATACGTCAGTTTGACGATTTTTTTAGTTTGACGATTTTTTTAGTTTGGTTCTTCTTTTTTTTTTTTTTTCTATTTTCTTCTTTCCTTTTTCTTTTCCTCTGCCTCCACCACTTAAGCTACTTTTCTTCTCCTTTTTTTTTATTGTAGCCAAATGGTGCCCAAGGAATCACCAAACAAGATTTTTTTTTTTTGAAATTTTTTCTGTTGGTAAGGACTATGGCTTTTGTTTTACGTTTTTTTTATTTTTTTATGATTTTTGAAACAGAAGATGAAAGAGATTTTTTTTTTGTTTGAGGTGTTGTTAGTGGCTTTATGCTATTAGTTTGGTTAGAGCATGGGGTAGTGGGAGGCAATGAAGGTGGAAGGTGGCTTGAGAGTGAATGCAAAGTGGGGATGGTTGGTCAATAGTGTGGGTGCTTGGGTATTGGTGAAGGCAAGGTCTCAATATTAAAGATGAATGAGTGGTTAAACAAGACTTGGTTGAAATAGTTTGGGCTTTCGGGTGTTGGTAGTTGTTTGGCTTAGTGATAGGGCGATGGTGGTGACACTTTTAACAGTTTGGCATAAGGCAAAATAAGAATGAGTATTTTGATTTTGCTTACTGTTATCTATACATCTCAAGGGGAGGCTCCAGTATGGGATTTGATTTTGAAGGTTTTTGGTGCTCGGTTGATGTCCATAAAAGTTATGCTAATGACTTGTGTGGTGGTATTAGACTTAGCAATGGTAGTTTGAATATGGTGGTCTTGGGTTGGGATTTAGTTTAATGTTGGTGGTTTTTTTTTTTTTTTGCTAGACATTGAAGGTTAAGGATGATGAGTGCTGAAAAATCCCTATTTTATTGTAATGGTTCTCTTCTTTTTGAAACCCAATTCTTCCACCAAAATTTAATGGCTTTGTAATGGTTTTTTAAACGGATATGACAGAAGTGCAGAAATGACTACTGATTTTTTAAGACCAAAAATCCTCTGCCTTTTAGGATATAAGTCTTTGATAAAAATATGCTAGAGGTCAGTACATAAAAATGAGGCTAACAATAAAAAAACTGAAAATGATGAGTGATAAAGTTGGGAGAAAAAAAGTTAATGAATTTGTGCTAGAGTTAGATAAAGCACAAAGTGAAAAATGAAAAGCTGAAAATCATGCAACAATTTGGATTCAACGGGTGTGGAATGAAGAAAAGGCTTATGGCAATATTGGCTTTTCCTTTAATTGAATTTGGGCATCCATTAGGCTTTGAAACCTTAAGCCCAAATCGTTTAACTATAATTCAAAATTGGTTTCAAGCCTAAATAAAATAAATCCCAAGGAAAATTAATCATAAGATAAAGCGCATCAAAGCTTAATATGAAATTTTGATTAAAATGTGCGACTAGGTTGAAAAATCAATCGAAATTCATTCATCTCGGATAAAATTGGGTGTCTATAGAGAGTAGAAATATTGATGCTTTAAAAATGTATACAAAATGTATTAAGAACATAAGTTGGTTTACATCCTGTTTTTGGCTAATGTATATGACCTTTTACAATTTTTGTCTATAATAGTGCTATTTTGAGATATATATATATATATATATATACAATATGTGTATAAAACTTTTTTAGATTAAAGTCAAGATTGATGGAATAGCAAACAAGAATTAGGTTCAATATGTTTAAGAAGAAAAGTTACAATAGAATTTTTTGAATCATTCGTCAATTGTTTAATAAATTAAGCAATCCATTCATTCTGCATTTCAACACCTAAAATCTTTGCTACAACACATTGAAGTGTTTTTTGACATTTATCTCATAACAAAAATGCTTGTTAAAAATAAACTTTAAAACTATAAGACAAAGTTAATTATAATACAATCGTCTAGACAAACTTATAGCCAATGACAACAAACCATTTATCTTTTAACAATAAAATCAATTCAACAATTTTTATCTTTAAGGTTGGAGTCTTAGTCAACCAAATTCATTATAATTGTATTAACAACAAAGTCAATTCAATAATTTTTATATTTAAAACATTCAGAGATTCAATGTGATAAAATTTTTATCTTGTCATGAAATATCTAAACTCATTTAGATGGCATTAATAATTACCCTTAAGAAACAAAAACAATTAATAAAAAAATGCATAAATAACATATGCTTGAAAATGAAAAATAACTAAATATATTGAAAAATTTACTTTTAAAGGTCATAAAAAGTGTAGAAAAGAAAGTCAACTTATAAATCAAATTTGGCAAAAAAAAAAAAAGCATAAATAATTAATAAAAAATGCAAAATCTCACTTTACCAAATTCAACCAAAAAAATTTTTTTTTTGTAATTCAACCAATAATCGATTCTAATAACTAATAATTTTAAGAATGATAATGGAAAAAAAAAACTCATAACCTTATTTAACATTTGAGTAAGTTTAATATATCAAATTTAAGCTGTTTACATACTTAGAAAAGAGAGAGCAAAGAACTTAGTTTAAAATTTTCAAGGCATAAAGAATGTTTAAAAAAACTTAAATCACAAAAATTTTCGACAAGCGAAATGAGTGAAAATTGTTATAATATTTAAGCAAAATTAATATCACGACCTAAGCTATCATGTGCATAAATAAGGAACAACTACAAATGCTTGAGAATTTACACTTAATAGTCATTAAAAGTTCCAAAAAGCGATAAATTCATCCAAATTTAATAACAAATCAAGCAAGACAGCATAGTTCTACCCATGAGATAAATTTGACATAAAAAATTTAAACTATCTACATACTTAAATAAGTAAAAACTGAACAAATTTAAAAGTTTGCCCACTCTAAGCATTGAAAATACTAAAAATATCTAAAATCACCATTTTTTTTTTTTGACAAACCATAAAAGGCAGCCTAGTTCTAAAATTTAAACAAGTTTAACATCATAAATTTAAGTAATCTATGTTCCTAAATGAGCAACAAACAATTCCGGAAAGTTGATCCTGCTTGTTATGGTTGCCATCGTTTTGAAATGGAGACTCCTTTGAAATATTGGTGTTTCTTTTTTCTTTGCTACGTGAAACAGTAGAGATTCGTTTTTAAGAGGAAGTATTGTCGATAAATTTTTGTATGCTATTTTTTTTCCTACCAAAACCAACAAACTCTTTCCGGAAAAGTTAAATATGCTAGAAATATAACTCATTCTTGCCACAGAAAAGCATTACATTATATAATAGAGAAGTAATAACGAAATGGTATAGTTTTCAAAGCATCAGAAACCAACAAAAGTAGTTACTCAGAAACCACATCTAACTTGTTAAGTAACTGATAACCAAGCCTAACAGTGAATAAGAGAACAGAGTAAAGGGCAGTACTATAACCACTTTCACTAAACCAAACAGGAAAAAGCCACTGTGAATTTCCTAGTGAAGCATTCATATCTTTAGATACGTTAGCAGCCAGGCATCCAAAAAGTTTATAACCAAAATGGATGATGATTCAGAGAACAGCACGTCATCATCAGAACAAGTCTGAGATAGCCCTAACTCTAAAGTTTAAATATACTTAAAAAGGGTTTCAGATCAGTTGCTGGTAAAACCAAAAGCCTATAGTAAACATGGTCAAAAGGTCTCAGCAGAAGAACATAGAATCGGAGACATTCTTGTTCAACCACGGCAGCTGCGGAACAGGTATGGCTCCAGGAGCAGTCACCCCACCATGGCTTGAGGATGTCTCAGGAGCCTCATCAAACTTCAGGAAAGTCCCCAACTGCGAAGCTGCCAAATGCGCATACCAAATAGGAGCGACTGCAATCCAAAGATTAGAAACAAACACCTTTAAGAAATAGAAATACAGAATCAAGCAAAAAACGACAAACTATTATATGGAGATAAAGTGGGAAAATAATTAGGTAAACCAAATGAATTTGGCATTTGAGAAAAAGCATATCACAAACACTAGGGAAGCATCTCAACCAGAATACTTACCTACAGATATGGCAGTGGTACTTCTTTGATTCCTGCATTAGAAAGAGATTACAAGGAATGCAACCGTGATTACAACTTAAAACATTTGTGAAGTAATTACAACACATGATTATACGCTTACGTATATGATAGAGAATGGACAAGTTCTTGCAGTTCGTCAGCTGAAAATCCGATTTCATCTAAGAGAACATGATAATGGGTAGGCCTTGTGGTTCCCTGAACAGCAAATACAAATTATACAAACAAACCAACGTTACAATAAAAGATGAAGGGCTATACCCATAAGACACAGCAAAAGCGTCGAGCACAACTTGGATGAGGAAACCAACCACCGTAAGAGGAACTTCAATTTCAGTCGTGCATTTTCTTTCACAACAAAACATGCATGACAGCCTTAAAAATACAAACAATGAATTCTGGATAGAGAAGGCAAGTACAAATGTAGTTGGCAATATCTTGACCAATTAAGTGAGACAAAATTGCAAAATCAACAACCATTAATCAACTGAAACAAAATTCTAGAAAAAACTTACAATCATTCCGGCATGTGCACATAGATAAAAGTCATTGTTCTGTGGATGACAAACTGTGTTGTCTATCACGGTTCCTGCAAAACAATAAAAAAAGGATCGATTTTAACAACTATAACAAGAGGTACCAGATGACATGCATCAAATAATGAGTGAGCCTCACCAGGCAGAACATTATCAGGAGATCCCTGCTGGAAAAACCTTGTACGATGATTTTTTTGTGCTACGATGACCACAAACCTGGGGTTCCAATTCTCATCAAGATTCTTGCAAGCCTATAAAGTAGAAACGTTAACGAGAGATGTTTTATCCCAAGCACTATCATCTTAATGACTGATTTATAACTAGCACAATTTTCGTACTTATTTTGCATGAATAACTCAAATAGAAATGTACAATTTTCAGTTCCCATGATTGAAAGTCACTACTACATATAATTGTTCAGTTAATGTAAACTTGATTGAACTGGACTCACTGACCCGTCCTGAGTGGAACCAGAATAATGAGCAAAAGTAATCATGAAATAAGCATCATCAATAAAAGGTAAAAGAAAATAACAGAATAACCAAAATCTATAGTTACAAGAATATGTAAAGAGATATGATGGTTCATAAGAAGATTAAACAAAAGTTTGAAAAAGAAATTGTCAAAAAGGACATAAATGGATGTAATAGATTAACCAAGTACAATAAAACTCTGCAATAGAATGATAAAAATTCACAGCATTGTAAAAAAAAAAAAGTTTTGCATAGCAGGTATTAATACACATAGAACCCAATATAAAAACGAATTAAATGTTAGTTAGCTTTTGGTTGATTCACAAATTTTAGTATATAGCGAGCAGAAATGAGAATAATGGAAGAGGCTAAAAAATGAGAATGTTCTGAAGCATTTTAGACAGCAGGCAGAAAGGAACATGCTAGTTTGATTAAAAGTTTAAAGGACAACTTGTACATTCCGTAAGCAGCATGAAGAGACTGAGCAGATCAAATATACTTGAATATCAAGACAGCATTTCACATGTAAAACAGATGATTTAACAGAATAAATACACCCATTACTTAGAAGTTAGAAATCAATACAAATAGAGTTTGCAAAGCAGAGACGAAGCTGTGGCAATTAAGAAGCAGGAAAACCAAATTTTGCATCCCTGAGTTCCCTAAAAATGTATGATTTAGAATATTTTTGTTATATAGAATGAACGTGAGAAACAGCAAAATGTAAAATAAGAAACCTGAATATGATGATTTGAAGAGGCTTCTGTCGTGAGCTTCTAAAAAAGTCAAAGACAGCCTCCCTGATGTCAAAGAAAATACATTAGGTACACAAACTCGAAACATTATATTCCCAAAAATTAAAATACTACAGACATAAATGATTACCAGCAGAATAACATATTACACAACTTTCTTATTACAACCCACCGCCATTGACGCCCCAAGCAAGAAGAGAGAAACAATAATGAGGATATAAAAAATAAATTTTCAACAAATAACTTGTCCCTTTTATTGGCCAATACTTGTCCCCTCTTTAGTCAAATAACTTTAAGATTGAAACGTACCTCATAACACCTCCATCCACCCGGTCAGACACTCGTTTGAATAGTGAATCTATCATTTCAACCCGGGGTGACTGTGTCCGGACAGATGCCCTATAGCGGTAAATGGAGGGCCACTGCCTGGAGTTAACCACCTACAATTAAATACAGTTAAAAAATCTCACAAATTTTGAAGTATAGACAGACTGCCAAATCACATCTCTATAACTGCTTGCAATTTATGGAAACTCAAGAAACCCAATGATAAGGAATAAGATCATCCCTACCGCAGCTATTGACGGGACATCAGACTGCCCAGGAGAGCCATGTGACACATCCATACCAAGGATCATGGTTGGAACCCTTGAAACAACAGGGATCATAGAACTTGGAGTTGGAACCCTTGAAACAACAGGGAAGGGACGTGGTTGTTGGATTGTTAACATTGAATTCAGTCCTCAAAGCTGCGAGCAGATTATGATATTAGCAGGTTTAATTATAAATAGAACAATAACCTTAATGGTTTAACTACAGAAGATTAGAACTGCAACCAGAGGAATGGCTTAAGTTAAAAAAAAAAGAAAAAAGAAATCGTTGGACAGAAGCAGACCTTTGCATTAATCTTGAGAAGCAGATTCGTAAGGTACTGATCAGTGAACTTAGTTGGAGCCATACACTGAGTGACTATGCCAGAGTCGGCAAGATTCTTTCGCTTCCATGGACCTTAGAAAATTCGTTGAACTTACTACGTAAGCAAAAGACTTCCAGGAAAACACGCATAGACAATGTATGAACAGATGAGTTTGTGCACACCATAAAGATCAGAATTTTTCCTGTTAGGCAGCACACAAAGAAGGAACCGTGGAGAGACATTACTTTCAGATTTCATCTCATCAAACATCTTATCCACTCTACCCACAGGAGAGAGACGTCCGTTCTCATTCTTCTCTGTGTACACACCAAATGGTCTATCTACATGCTGAAAAAGAGACATGGAAAAGAACGTAAGCCAACAAGTTGAATTCTATAACTTTGTATGTGCTGATTGACAATACCAATACAACCAAAACAAAAATTAGACAACAAACTTACCATTCCTTTCATTTCTCCGCATCTCATCAGATCCAACACAAGTCGACTTACATCACAACGTGGCCAGAAGTTAACAACACCCCAACTTTCAATCCTAGTTGGCTCCACAAATCTCTATGAAAGCATAACTGAACTGTTGAGAAACAAGAGATGAAACATATATAAGATAGAAGGCTGCAAAAGCAAAGAAGCTATAGACCTTATTGTTGAAATTCCATCGCCCATTCTTAGGCGCGAAAGCTTTACCATCGCCCGCTATTATCTGTCATCAAAAGATAACTCAATTAGCATGTACATCGAAAAGAAGGATCATTAAATTAACCCTCAACAACCAGCATACACGTTCCGTATATCAAAGAAAGAAACAAAATTCATCATTAACCTACCCCCGGAGGAGGCAGAATACGGCCTTCCACTTGGGTGAAATTAGAGCTGATAGAAACACCACATGAACGCAGCACTGGTTCAGCACCATAATTACTGTTATGTAAAGCCTGCACAAAAATATGCAACACTCATAAGTTATAGAACAAGTGAAATGCTGAGAGTCAGAAGTTTATAATAGACCTACAATAGACAAGAGCCTCATTCTTTCTTGAGGCTTCTGCCTTGATTTTTCGACCAGCGAAGCTCTTTGGAAAGTGGATAGCGCTTTTGTGTAGCGTTGCAACGACACCAAAGTGCACAGCTATGGCATTGCAACAGGTGCACAACAAATCATAGACAAGAATTAGTTGCTAAGCATATATCATGTAACAAAACAAAGCCACAATGCACTCATTCACCTCCAAAGGAATATATGTTGGCCGCTTTGGCTTGCCAACATTAATGCATGGCAAATCTGCAGAATAAGCCAACTGTATCTTGCGATGGGTGACAAAATATTCATAAACAGTAATCTCCACGGTCTCTGCTTCACCATTCTCATTCTTCATACTTTTCTGCTTCCATGAGAACCTGCATCATGGACACAGCACACAACAAATAAGAAACAATAACTTTAAACTGAAGTATTACACAACAGGCAAGTAGGAAAAGCTCAAAGTTAAATAGTAGCCAATTTAGCACCAATCAAAGAAAAAGCACTATTGTGAGACCGGGAAATCATACATCTGATCTTTGCAGAAAAGGTCACTCAATCCGGTAATCTTGTACTCCAGATTGGATGGTCTGACTTCTACCCTCAGATTTTTAAGCACTCGTTTAGCCTATTCAGGGTTTCAAGCAATTGCGGTTTAGTAATTAATAATTGATGCAAAGAACTCAAATTCGCTTGGCAAAAAATGTAGTTATTGATAACCTTGCTCCAGTCCAGGTACTGAGGATCTCTCATATTCTGATTCTCAAGTAAAAAATCCAATACTGGACCAGGTTGAAATATCACTGTAGTTGATACGTCTGAAACACAAAGAGAAATAGTAATTATACAAACAATACAAAGCACACAAATGCGTAAGTGCTGCGAGATGAGGTTCCAACCAATATTCAGGGAAAGGCCTCCTTGAGTAGCTCTGAAACTTGAATGGAATCCCCTGCATCCTAGGACACCACGGCCAATGTTTGTATAATTATTTTCATCATCTTGGAAAAAAGACTGGCGAACAAGTAGGCATCCCCTATGTAAGTGAACGTAATGTCAGAATAAATATAATATCCGGGATCAAAACCTAAAAGTGGAGAAAAGAATACTCAGGCACATATTTTAACTCACCGTTTTGCAGCATGCTGCCGTAAAATGATATCCAGCACCCTCAGGGCTTCTTGTGAGTTTCCTGATTCCTGTCCACGCAGAGCATTTTGAATGGCTTGCATGGGAATCTTTGCGGCAAAGCTAATCTCCACGTTAAATGTCTTTGGCGGGTGCATACGTCCTAATATCTTCCTTTCACGCTCTTTTTGGCTTTCATTGCCATCAGGGCTTGCACTCCTATTGTTTCCATACATACTTAAAAAATTAGAAACAATGAATGGGAGCAGTGTAAATACTGCAAATCAATCTAAAGTGCACGTCAACCTGTCGGATGTAACATCCTCAAGCACAACAGGAAACTCAAGCTTGGTACTTGGGAGAGGACCAACAGTAAATAAACTCTTCTCCCCATCATACGCAAAGTCCTTTCCAGCCAACTCACTGCTGTAGGTCTCATGCAACTTATCCATCACCTTTCTTCCAACACCCTTCCCAACCACTGGGCGACCATCTTCATAAGAAAGAGAAACCTGTTGAACCAAATTGCAAAAGAAGAAGAAACTTGCATCAATAATTTCTATTTACCAATGAGAAAAAAAGATAAGCAGAGCGAAGTAAGCAATTACATACACTGTAGTGGAAGAAATGCCCATCAACAGTTCCAACATTCACTTTGAAGTGATTTGTGAGAATAGATATCTTCTGCCCTTTAGATCCAAGACCTTTCCTGGCCATTGGGACACGTAAAACCTTCTTTGCAGGTTCATATTCTGCTTTGATTGGTGCCACATTGGGAGGCAGAGGCGGGGGAGGAGGAAGAGAGCCCGTTGCCCCGCTTCCCTCTTTCTCAGACGAGTCCATTTCCTAACCAAGAAAATTTTTCTTACGTGAAAGAAAATAAAAATACTAGTAAGCATTTAAGATTAGCTACAACAGAAATTCCACAAAAAGTAGGTACGTAACAGTATCATTTCATGCAGAAAAAGATTAACTATAACCATTTCATGCAGAAAAAAGTAATTCCCACTTTTAAGTTGATAAATTAGTTATTTTCAACAAAAAAGAAAAAATTAGTAGCAATTACCCTTGACATATCACAATCTTAAAACTCGTCAATCTATACAACTTAGTATCTAGTTCTCTTAAACTATATAGTGTCTGTTTATATGGTTTTATTTTATAGGATTGTTTTTTTTTTTTTTTTTTGTTATTTGAAATATCCTAAGAGAAATCAACAAAAATATATCCATTTCCTTTTGAGAAATAAGACATAGAGATTAAGGGAATTTAGTGAATAAATAATGATTTAAAATTTAGATTGTGGATTTTTGTATTTGTGTCATTTAAATTATAAATTTAATGTATTAATATTATATTTTATACGAAAATTACGTGCCACAATTAATATAGATGATAAAATATAAAATATATATTTTTAATTTTGTTAAATACATATATATATAATTATTATTAAAATTATAAATTATATTTCTTTCATGTTTTTATTAGTATCCTATTTCGTATCCCTTTTATTCGTTTTGTGTTCGTGTTATATTTTTGCATGATGTATTCTCTTGGCAAAGTAAACAACAAAATAAAATTTTTCTAACAATATACTCAAAACGTGATTTTTTTTTTCTAGCAATATACTCGTACGCCACTAAGGAAAACAAAGTCAACATGCTCGTACGCCAAAAAAGAAACAAAGCCAAGGCACCAAAACTATATAATATTTAAAAATGAGATTTTTTTTTCCTAACAAAATGCTTAAGAAACCACATGCATGCATATTAAAGACGTGTTTACAAAGGATACAAATATTACCTAAACATCAGAGGATCTATAGCAAAAAAAAAAAAAAAAAGCGTATGTTGATGAATGCTGGAACTTACACAGGAAAAAAATAGAGAGATAAGCACAAAGGAAAAAAAAAAAGAAAAGAAAAGAACCCTTAGAGTACAAAAAAAAAAAGGGAACCTTTAAGAATATGAGCTTGAACCAGAGGCACTAATGCTGCTATGCACTAAAACGGTTAACATGAAGAGGCAAAAAGGTGCTGTTTTTAGCATAAAAGTCAAAACTTTAACCAAATATATTGCATCATTTAAGGGATAGAACGAAAAAATACCAAACGTAAATACCTTTAGCACATCAAGAGACAGTAAAAGACTATAACTGCAGAGAAAGAGTAAATGAAGCGACAAAAAACTTTTAAACGGAGTTAAAAATCCCAACTGAAGCAAAAATGTAACAACTTTCTAAATGGCTTGATTACAAGATGACAAAAAGAAACCTTTTTTACTATAAAGAACTGAATAATAAAATAAAATAACAAAGGTTACGAAAGGTATACATCTCTCAAAATAGAAATGTGCTCTAACACCGACGAAAAACTACAGTCCTTAAAAATAGAAAAAAAAAAAAAAAAAAAACAGCTAAAAAGTTGCAAACTTGAAGTGTTTATTGAAAAGTAGAACAAAAAATGGAACGAAGCGCAGATGATACTCAAAAAAGAAGAAAATCCTTGAAAAAAGCCACCTACTGAAGCAGCATTGCAAACTACAACGCTTAAAATTTTTCAAAAACAGAGGACCTTTCAAAAATACATCAAAAACCCTGTAAAAAAAAGTCCAAAGAAGAAAAACACGAGACAAAAACACTGAAACCAAACAGGTTTCACAGAAAAAAAAAATACCTGAAATTTGGAGAGCAAATGAAAGATAGAAACCCTAAAACTCAAAAGGCACTGTCAAATACAAATCTCCTTTCTTGTTTTTTCCTCTCACACGAAAAAACTATAAACAGACTGAAATAAACCTCCAAGGACCATCCGTCTTTGTCTTGCCTTAATTTATGTCCTCTGCATCGCGGCTTACACGATACGCTGCTTTACCACGTCTCCACCGTCCACTTGTCAATTTAGATTAGATGACAATAATTTTTTAAAACTTCAGGTTAATAAGAACAATATTATTAAATTAATTACTAATTTATTCATAATATGTATGAAAATTTTGTGAATGATTGAGACTTTTTATAATTATACAAAGATTTATATTTGATGTGTTGTATAGATTTTATAAATTATTTTATTGATGACCTAAATCATATTATCTCGTCTCATTAATAATTAAATTTTTTAAAAGATATAAATTTTTATATTTATTTTAGAAATTGTTATTTATTTATTAAGAAATTGACTTCATCAAACATGGTAACGATGTATAAATTTATGTACTATCAAAACATTAAATATAAACTCATTATATAAATTTATTATATAAAAATCATACAAAATATATTTTAAAAAGCCAAATAAAACTTATAAAAAATAAAAAATTTTAACTAATACAAATTAATTTTACTGTATTATAGTCACATCATAATAATTATTTATTAAAAAATTATTAATTTCCATAATTAACATTTATATAAAGATATAAAAGTTAAAATATTTTATAAAAATTAAAATATTCAATGTGAACGATTTCTATTATCCGATATGTGCATAATTTTAAAAATTTTTAATGTATCGTCTAATAAATGAATTCTATTTTATTTGATGTATTTTTAATTTAAAAATAAATTGATTATATTTTCTTTATAATATTTATTTTAAATTACTTTCAATTAAAATTCATATTAAAAGTAATAAAACTTTTTTCCGTTGTTAATAAATAAAATAATTTTGTATTTTTTTTTCAATTATAAATATTCAACTCTTAAAATAAATTTACTAAAAATTATACACGTTTCAACATATTAAAATATAATTTATTGGCTCTACCTTTTTAAGTTATGTATGCATGTACATTTAATATGTGGATTTTAATAATATCAATAAATGATCATATAAACTAAAATTTAATTTATCAAATCAAATCAAATCGAATTAATTTCATTATTATTGTTATTTTATTTCAAAATCTCTCCTTTTTTTTTTGTCGAATACGTTAAAAACACATTATACATAAAACTATTTTTATTACTAAACATAAATTACTCTTAAGTTTATTTTTAATTTTATTTCATTCAATTAATTATTTCAAAATTACATATTTAAAATGTCATCAATTGCCCTCGATTTGCAACAGGTGACTATGAAAGTTTTAGTGTCATCAATGATTTTGAACGTAATGAAGGGAACGGGTCTTAAATTACACCTTTAGATCAAAGCATTGGACGGCTTTGATTTGATCGTGATAGAATGTGTGATTGCATAAGATCATACCCTTTTTTTTAATTGTTAAAAATATGCACATTTGCAGTGCAAAAATGATTATGTCACTACTTTAATCATAGATATTCGGTTTTTGCAAAAACGATATTAATTTTTATTAATTTTTGATTTGACGATTCTAAGTTTAATTGAAATCTCAAAATCATGGTTTTGTCTGTTTAAAACAATGGGGTGTGTTGAATGATAAAAAAATTGAGTTGGGTGGAGAAGGGTAATTTGGATAAAAGGAAATGGAAAACAAAAAAAAAAAATAGTGCGGAGATCATGTACTTACGAATATAACAATAATTTGATTATGCATGACATGTGTGAATAGATTAAGATATCTAAAATTAGATATACGAAGTAATTATATAGCTTTTTATAAGAGTAGATTTTTTATGATATTAGATTTTAAATATTTTATCAACCACTTTCAATTCAATAATTAAATTTTTTTTTCACAAAAAAATGTTGAAACTTTTTTGTCTATCCATAAATGGTTTTATCCTAAAATAATTTTTTTTAATAGTAGTAGTAATTTAATTTTCATAAATTCTTGTTTTGGTAGACAATATTTTTCTTGTAGTTATCTTTATCAAATACAATTATCAAAATCAAAATATTTATAATTTTCAACTCTTAATTCACCATTTTTTTCTAATACTGGCAATATAAAAGTTAGACTTATAATTATAATATTAGATGTTGCATTTCTTTAAAATCGGTAAAATAAAGTGATATACGTTTAAAAATTGGTGAAAGGATTTAAATAGATTATTAGTAGCACTGTGAAAGAGATGTTTCAACAAATCCAATTAAAATAAATTAGGTGAATTGCTAATGTATATGACCCTTTGTAATTTTTGTCTATAATAATACTATAAGTTGTAGGATATATATGCAATATGCATATAAAAAATTTTTAGGCTAAGGTCAAGATTGATGGAATAGCAAACATAAATTAGGTTCAATATGTTTAAGAAGAAAAGTTATCATAGAATTATTTAAATCATTCGTCAATTGCTTAATAAATTAAGTAATTTTTATGTCCTCATTCTATATTTCAACACCTAAAATCTTTACTACAAGACATCGGAGTGTCTTTTGACACCTTTCTCGTACCCAAAATACTTGTTAAAAAAAAAATGAACCTTAAAACTATAACACAAAGTTAATTATAAAGCAATCGTCTAGACAAAGCTCATAACCAATGTCAACAACCCATTGATCCTTTTAACAATAAATCAATTCAACAATTTTTATCTTTAGGGTTTGAGTCTTAGTCAATCAAATGCATTATAACTATATTAACAACAAAGTCAATTCGATAATTTTTATTATTTAAAGCATTCAGAGATTCAATGTAATAAAATTTTTATCTTATCATAAAAGATCTAAACTTATTTAGATGGCATTAATAATTATCATAAAAAATAGAGATAATTAATAGAAAAAATACAGAAATAACACATGTTTAAAAATGAGTAATAACTGGATATGCTTGAGAATTTATCATTTAATATCGTAAAAAGTGTAGAAAAGAAAGTCAACTTATAAATCAAATTTGACAAAAAAAAAAAGCATAAATATTTAATAAAAAAAATGCAAATTTCACTTTACCAAACTCTACCAATAAAAT